TTGTGCCTGTAATCTCAGCACTTGGGAGGCTGAAAACAGGATAATCACTACAAGTCCAGTCTACATAGTGGACCCTGAACACCCTGTAGACCCTATACTAAATACATTAAAAAAAGAAAATAAATTATTAATCTGAAAAATGAAGCTTCAACTTCATTTTAAAATTTTTTCATGGAACTGGGGATTGAACTTAGGCTCTTGCACTTGCCAGGCAAGTGCTTATTCTACTGAGCTATCTCTCTGGCCCCTCAACTTCCTTTGCAATGTAATTGTAATACCTCCTCATTCTGTATAAGTCCAATTCCATGGAATCAAACTCATTTCCCATGGGAAAATGTAAAAAGGCATTTATTATATCACAGTAATATTACCTCTAAGATTCTGTCTCTTCAGCAATGTATTGATAATACTTTCACAAAACAATTGTCAGAAGTGTCTGATACTGATCTGTTACAAAGCATCTCTAATGGCATTGAAAACCTGAACCCTTTTCATGTTATTCATGGTTTAGTGGGAGTGTAGTAATGATTTTGTCTATGTTGTCTCTGTACTGCTAGTATATCCTGCTTAGCTTAGTGATGGGGATGAGTCCGGCAAGAAACCATGGATTGACAATCTGCAGTCCTTGCCCCGATGCTTAAAAAAATTTCAGCACAAAAACAAAAATGGGGTAATATAGAAATATAGAGATGACACAGAAGCCTGATATCTTGAGGTAGCAAAGAGCAATAAACAGAGCCCAAGGAGAACTGTTGTCTCTTAGAAATTCCAGCAAGCTGGGATTCAAGGCTACAGATAACAGCTTCTGCAGGCACCCTGTCTGTTCTTTGATCCCTTGCTTGGGATGTTATTGGATAGCACTGGGTAAACTTAGACATATGTAAATGCTTGAAGTCAACGGAGAGTTTCTGTTCGCAAAAGTAGTGATGCACATTCCTTAGCCTGCCTGTAACCCTCAATAAATGTGAGAAAGTTTCTCTGGCTCAGGGCTCACTTAAGAGTGACACGAATCTCAAGTAAGACCTCTGAAACTGTATTCATCTAGCCTTGCTGTTGCTCTCTTGGCTCTGATCCACGATTCTTTTTTTTTTTTTTTTTTAATTTTTAAAAATTATTTATTTGTGTGTGTGTGTGTGTGTGGCCAGCTCAGCCCACCAGAAGGCGGGGCTGGCTGGCATGTGGTGCTGGGGGATTGAACCATGGTCCCTGTGCTTTACTAAGCTTGTTCTAAGTAGGTGCTTTAGACCACTGAGCCATCTCACGAGCCCCAAGTGCCAAATACATGTTTACTTTTTTTTTTTTTTTTTTTTTTGCGGAATCGGGGATTGAACTCAGGCCCTTGCACTTGCCAGGCAAGCACTTATTCTACCAAGCTATCTCCCCGGCCTGATCCACAATTCTACAACAGTAGAGGATGACTTTTCCACATCTGCTTTGGAGACTGGCTGGAAGTTAGAACAGAAGCCTAGATGGAGGGTGATGCAATGAGGAATTAAGTCAGGTTGGGCTGGAATGATGTGGGCAACTATGGCTGTCTACCACCCCTAAATTCTCCAAAAATCTAGGACTGCATAAGAGAATGACATTTGTACACTCCCCCACCACATATGCTGGAAACAATCCCAGTGCCATGGGAGGTGGGGTCTTTTGCAGGTAACTGTGTTATGAGGATGGAGCTCTCCAACAAGGGGTGAGTGCCTTTATGAGACACTGGAGAGCTAGTCAGTCCTCTTCTGGTCCTGTGAGGCCAGGAATAGGAACCCGTGAGCAGGGCCTGATCAGACAATGAATAGCTACTCCCTTGATACTGGACATCTCAGCCTCCAGAACTGGGAGAAATAAATTTGTTGCTTAAGTGCTCCTCCTGCAGAACTCGGTTACAACAGCCCAAATGAAGACATAGACGCTGTCCTTCCCAAAGACAAGCTGGTATTCCCTGGGGCTGCAGATGGCTTCTTACATAGCCAACAGGGCACATATGAATTATTCTGGTGCAACTCATACTCTGGGTATTGTGGGCATTTCTCAAAGCACTTTCTTTCATTAAAAGGTTATTCATCATCTAGAGACTAAAGTCAGAGAATGAAGAACACCCTGAGTTTTGGTGTCTACAACTCCTTGTAGTTGATTATAATTATGCCCTTCGAAGTGATGGTGAAATTCTATCTCTAGAGGAACCATTGAAATGTCCAGAACCCCATCAACTGGAGCCTAGTGAATCACCCTGCCCCTTCAGCAGAAGAGTCTTTCAGAATAGATGCCCTATTCAAGGTTGCCAGGAGTATGCAAGATAGAAGTCATTGATTTCATTTATGCAGCCCTTTTTTTCCTATGTTGGGAGTAGATTCTTTCTTGTTCATAAAACAATTAGGTTAATTTCCCTTTGCCAAGTCATAACCACTTTCTGACCTTATCTTGTTGGTATTACAGTCAGGACCTCTGTTGTACATGGAATGTTTGTGCCACACCCAAAATCATGTACTGGAATCCTAACCCTAGTGGCATGGTATTAGCAGGTGGGCCTTTGGTAGCTTACTTATTTTGGTCTTTTGAGACAGTGTCTTGCTATGTAGTGGTTACTAGCCTCTTAGGCTCATATGCTCAGGTTGCTTGCCACTGGCCAAGTCAAAGAAAGCCATATACTTGGGTAAAGAGGAAAAAGGATATATTTAAAGCCAGCTCTGAGGAGATGGAGGAGCCCATTTGCCTTGATTCAGCACCTGGGCAAGAGTCCTTTATAGTAAGGAACAATGAGGAAGGCAGCAGTGAGAGAGAATGCAGAGCTCCACACTTGCTTTAGCCTCAGTTTATCATTTCTTGTAGAAAACAAACCAGGCCTCTGGCCTTCCAAGGCTGGTACCTGCAAATTACATCACTTCTTTTGGGCTGAAGAGAAGAGGAAGGGGCCTGTTGCTGTGTGCTTACTTTGGAGTTCTATTTTACAGTGTGGGTTACAGTTCAGGCTGGCACTGAACTTAGTAGGTAGCCCAGGTTGGCTTGATCCTCCTGCCTCAGCCTTCTGAGTGCTAGGATTACAGATGTGCACCATTTTGCCTGGCTTGGTAGCTGACTAAATCACAAGCCAAGTCCTTATGAATAGGATTAGTCTCCTAGACAACAGACTCTTAGGGAGCTTCCTTGATCCTCCTACCACACTGATAGACAGCTGACCATGAATCAGGAGTTAGGCCCACACCACACAGATTGTGCTGTAGTAGTCCAATTTGGGATTCTCAGGCTCCAAAATGAGGAGAATCACATCTACTGCTCATAAGCCAGTCAGTCTGCGATATTGTTACAGCAGTCCCAATGAATTAAGATAGCCTCCTTGACTGATATTTTAGGTGTTTCTACATTCGTCAGCCATACATTATGAATTTCTCATTTTACTCAGATAGCTGGTAATTCACTGTGGACAGATTTAGTCTCTCAAATGAACACATCACTTCGGCCTCTGTTGGGAAAGCTTACTGTAAAACTACTGTCGTAATGGGAACACACTGAAGTTATGGACTGGAGGCATGCTTGTGGGGCTAGACTCTCCATGCAGGTATGCCACGTTCTTCCTTTAGACCACAGAGAGAAGCCAGGCTCTCTGTAGACAAGGGCACATGGATATCCCCCTGAGCCCTGCAGCTTTTCTACCAGGGGCTAGGACCACACTCCCTGCCAGATGTCCAATCAAGAGGCAGGAAATCTTTTCAGCTCTCCTCCTTCTCCTCTATTCTTGCTTCAATTTCTGGTTTCATCTGCCTCAACATTTCTAGTCTTGAAATCTCAGATTTCATTGTTTTAATCCTTTGTTCTTGTCCTCTTCTAGGTCTTCCCATTCCTGTCCAACGGGTCTCTCTCCTAGTCATGGAATTTTTGTGGGACTTCTTCCATCCTCTACTGCGAATAGACAAGTTCTGCCTAAACCATGGTTTGCCTGAGGACTCTGAAAGGATCTGGGAGAAGGTTAAAAACTAGAGAATCCTAGGGATCACTTATTCTTTACACCAACACATTGGGCAAGCACTGTAGATGTAGTTAACTGCTTTCCACTCACAGTTATTAGCAGAATCCTGAAATTTACTTGTACTATGGCAGTGTTTTTACAGGCATTAAAAAGGGGGAATTTAATGCCTCTGTTTTTCCTGATCCAATAAGATGGTGGACTTTTCCACCACACAGATTCATGGCACCTTTTATTTTGCCATTGTATTCGATTGTTGATTTTTCTAGTCACTACAGGATCTCCACAGTGTTGGCAGATGGAGACCAGCTTCTTACTGACATTCTGTCTCCTTTCCAGGCTGCTGTTGGGGGTTTCGCCTCCTTTTCTCACACATGTTGGTGTTTCGTGGGTTCCAACTTGAGCTATCTCTTTCCTGCACATGTCCCCAGGAACCCCCAGAAACTTTGAGTGGGTTTCACCCCGCACCCACTCTTATCCAAAACCCTTGCCCCGGCCCTGTCCACTCACATAAGGTTCCATCGCCAGCCTTTTCCACCCATGTCGGGGCACACCTCTTTTTCAGCGTGCTGGCCACTGTCACACACACGCCTGCACGTGTAGGGCAGAGCCGGCTCCCTCACCTCTCTGACCCCCCCGGGACCAGCACCACACCTAACCCTGTGTAGGTGCCTGCCCGAAGGACCAGAAAAACCTAACGGGAGAGGGCCGGCGTGCTAACCCGGGGGCTGGAAGTCATGTGCCGCCTCAGTTCTGGGGGCATCCGCGGGGTGAGTCCCGGTCAGTGCCGCCCCACATGGGCGGCCGGGGACGGGCTGGGTCTGGAAGGCGCTCGTCCAGGAAGAGGGCCACAATCAAGCAGGAAAGCGTCTTAGGAGCCCACAGCGAATCTCCCCCACGGGCCGAGGCCAGAGCTGTTCCAGGCCCCTCGCCCCGGCGTCGCTGAACCGCCACCGCCCGCTTCCCGCACAGCGCACTTGCCCCACGCACAGCGCGTTTGGCTCCTCCCGGCCACCGTTGCTCTTTCGAACGCGCTCCAGTGACCCGGAAGAGCATTCTCCTTAGCAACTGCGGGACCGCGGCGGCGCCGGCCTTTCGGGAGCCAAGGTGAGGGCCTCCCTCCGCCCCCTTCCCTTCCGTGCGCACGCCCCACCTGGGACGGACCCGCAGTCTGGCCTCGCGGGGCTCCGCAGCGTTTCACCGGAGCTGCGGCCACGGCGGCCCAGGGCGAGCGTCCCTCGCCCCTGGTTTGTTTGCCCGGCCGCGCCGTCGCCGCTGGCCACCCTATGCCCCCAGCTCCTTCCAGACCCTGCCCGACCCAGGGTTTGCTGTGGTGGACAAAGAGGGAGAACAAGAGCCTGTTGCTGTAGAGAGGGCTTTCCCCAGAGGCTTGTGTCACCTGTGGACTCATTGTCACGTGTCCTAATGGAGGTGGCAGAGACCTGCAGGGATGGGCACCTCAGAAAGCTTGAACAGCAGTCACTTAATTATGGGTCTGGACGTTTGCCTGCTGCTCCGCGCTTTCCAAAGTGATGCACTTGAACTGCTTTATTGATTGTAGAGACTCATTTAATTGTACATTTTGAACTGAGATTATTTTCCGAGGAATTGGCTTTCCAGTTGTGACTGAGATGTAGTTAGAATATTGTAGTTTAGATTTTGTGTCTTCTTGCAGGTGGAAACCTCTTAACGACTGGCTAGAATTTTGGGAAAGATTTCAAGTGAAATTTGCTATCTTCAAGTAAGGGCAAATGTTAATAGCCCTGGTTTGCACTCAGAAAGACACTAAGCACTGAAAGCCATTTGAGTTTAAAGAGTTTTACTAAGAAAACTAAGGCTTATTTGAAAATTTATTTGAAACTAAGCCTTATTGTTGATAAAAGTGATTTTATAGCTGGGTGTGGTGGCACATACCTGTAATCCCAGTACTCAGGAGGCTAAGGCAGGGGAATTATTGCGAGGTTGAGACCAGCCTGGACTACGAAGAAAGTGCAAGGCCAGCCTGAACTGCATAGCGAGACTCTGTCCTAAAGAGACAAAAAAAAAAAAAAAAAAGCTATTTTATAATCCAATGATGATAGAGCTGAAGCAGGGACAGGTCTTCAGAGTGACATTATTTAGAAATAAAATGCAGGAGTTTATAGTAGAGTTTATCAGAATTCAAGTGTTTATCAAGCACTTACATAGTGTTATGTGCACTCAAAAGATAGAGGACAAGACTGCACACATTAAGTCATTAGAAAGGCAATTAGATAAAAAAAAAGAGAAAAGCAATTAGATGGCATTTGTTTACATGCAAATTTGTGCTAGATATTAAGTGCTGTAGTAAGTCAAAGGTGGAAGGATCAATATGGACAGGAGTTTTCAGAACTATATTTATGGATTAAGTGAGACTTGTCTCTAAAGCACTGATGCAGTTTATATTTGTATTGGAGTGGGTGGGAGTATTAAATAATTTCTTCTTGCATCCTTAACTTTAGGATTTGAGAAGTAATTCCAAGTGTCATTTTGAAATCCTTCTTCCAACCTCTAAGGTCTTGACTTGGGATTTGTTTCTTTCATACACTCAGTAGAAATGTCTCTGGTGTTTTTCCTGTTTGAGTCCTAAAATAATGTTACAAGCAGAGACTTTGTCCTTAGCAATTCTTTGCTTCTTCAGTTGGTCTTACATTTATAGGAAACACAGAAGTTTAAATACAACAGATTAAGTGGAATTATTGGTTCAAACATAATTTTTTAAAATATATTTGGTACAGGGTCTCACTATGCAGTTTGGACTCATAGTGATCCTCCTGTTTTCAGCCTCCTCAGTGTTGGGATTGTAGGCGTCCATCACCATGCCCTATCTAGGTAGCTGGCTCAGTGTGCCCAGGGGCGGGGCCGGTGCAGCATGTGTCATCATACATACTTGAGTCTTATGAAATTTTGCTTTGTTTGATTGTCAGTGCTTCCTGTGCAGCAGGCACATGTCAAGAGATCTCAAAGCAGCAGTGAGCTCAGCAGCCAGTGGCAGCTCTTTATCCACGCTACCCTCCTGTGTGCTTAGCTTATCGGTCTTTGCTGTTCAGTGCTTACTGTGTGGTATAGGAAGGCTAGAGCAGTTTATTGATGCCTTTTTTAGTTTCATAGAGACCTTGGGTTTCTTTGTTTTGGAGATTCACTAAAGATAGAAATTCTTAAGAAAACCTTTTGATATTTTGTTGTTGTTTTAAAGAGTAGATTTGGTGTTCATTTATTCACTTATTCAGCAGAGGTTTGAGTGATTACCTGGGTTACTTAAGTACCAGTCTTGGCCTTGGAGGCAGGAGGAGAGTAAGTACACACATAGTCCCTGTCTTCAGCAGCTGATAATCAAAGAATCACACTAACATTAGACTGCAGCTCTGACAAGTGTTTAGTGAGGGAAGTCACAGAAAGGACATTAAAACTGTGGCCTGCAGGATGTACAGGAAGGGAAGTGTTCCAGCAGTTAGCAGAGCAGAGACCCTTGGATGACAGGGCTCCTGGAGGGACCAGAGGCTTAAGGTACAGCAGTATACATGGAACTGGAGAAGTGTGAAAAGGTGAGCAGAGAGTTTGAAGGCAGTTTGGATTTTTCCTGTCCTCAGAATAAAGAGCAGCCTATGTGTGGGTTACGGGTTGGCTGTGTTCCACACAATTAGGTTGTGTTGGAGTAGCCTGGTCTGTGTCTCCTCTATGCTTAAGTGCTTGTAGTCATTTTGCCCCTCTTTACTTCCACATGCTCTCCCTGCCTTATTATGGTGGGAGAAGCCTTTGCATCCCACTAGCAAGATACTTTTCTTTTTAATTTAGAAAGGAATTTTAAGGTTAAGATTGGACAGGGGCTGGGGAGATGGTTCAGTAGAATAAGCACTTGCCTGGCAAGCACAAGGGTCTGAGTTCAATCCCCAGTTCCGCCAAAAAAAAAAAAAAAAAAAAAAGGATTGGTCATTACAAGTTAGTGGATTTGAAATATTTTTTCATCATTATTACTGCTGGGGCAGTAATAATTTCTGTGATTCTACCTTTTCTCCTCTTTTAAAAATTCTAATGAAAAGCACAATACAGGGCTGTGGAGATAGTTCAGCGGTCTAAATACCTACATAGGCAAGCACAAGGACCTGGGTTTGATCCCCAGTACCATATGCTGTGCTGGCCTTGTCCCAGGTGCACCAAGCCAGCCACCAAGACCAGTCATGATGGTGCACACCTGTAATCCCAGTGCTGGGGAGGCTGAGACGGGAGGATCACTATGAGTCTGAGCTGTATAGTGAGACCCTGTATCAAATACATAATTTTTTTTTTTAAAAGCACAATACAAAATGCTGTCTAAATAATTTTTAAGTGTGAATTCAGGTTTTTAACTGTATATTTTTGTGTGACAGATCTAGACTTTACCTTGTAAAACCAAAAGTCTGTATCCATCAAATAATCCATCCCCCATTCTTCCTGTTCCATGATTTTGACACTTTATGTATTATTTTAGGTGACATGTCCACTTTTACCTTCTTGCTGTTTCCCTCATATATCCTTTCTCCCATCAATTCAGTTCAGCCCCAACAAATCTTTTTTGTTTGTTTGTTAGTTCTTTTTGGAGACAGGGTCTTGCTATGTTCTTTTTTTTTTGTTTTTTTGTTTTTTTGTTTTTTTGCTCCAAATGCCTTCAGGGCAGGTTTGGCTGGCTTGAGTTATGGGGATCGAACCCCAGCATCCTGAGCCTGACTGCTTTGTTGAAGCAGCCACTTAAAGAGCTGAGCTAAGGGGAAGGCCCCCTCTTGCTGTGTTCTTTTGGAACTGGTCTTGAATTATGGTCTTTTTGGAGTTGGCCTTGAATTTGCAATAATCCTTCTGCCTCAGCCTCCTGAATGCTGGGATTAAGGCTTGCACCAGCATGCCTAGCTAGTTCTTAAAGAGCTTTTCCCTTTGTTTTTGAATTTGTACTTATAGCCAGAGTGGAAGAGACTTTAGACATCATCTTGTCTAACTTGCTTTTATTCGTGCTGGACAGTGGTTTCCCAGAGGAGAGCCATCTCCTAAGTCAGGACGGAGTTGGAGCCTGATCTTTGGCCTTTCACCTTCTAGGCATCTACCTTTCCAACGTCTGCCTGCTTGGTGGTAATTTCTTAGTTAGACCACTAGCATTACGAGAGACACAGGCAACACTGATTTCTGTGTGCCTAGATTGTTATGCTAAGGCATAACAGATGCTGTATTAGCCAGCTCTCTGTTACATAACAAATGCCCGGGATGATATAATCAACTTCTGAAGAGACAAGGTTTTGGGCTGGGGAGATAACCTGATGGTCAAAGCGCCTGCCAGGCAAGTGCAAGGACCCTGATTCAATTCCCTGTGCTGCATGCTTTGCCAGCCCCAAAACTGGTCGTGGTGGCACATGCCTATAATCTTAGCTCTGAGGAGGTTGAAACAACAGGAGCATTATGAGTCTGAATGATGAGTCTGAACTACTATGGCTTAACCTGTATCTGGGCATAGCCTGTATCAAAGAAAAAAAAAAAAAAACAAGACAAGGTTTATTTTCACTCTCATTTGCAGAAGTTTTGCTTTGGACCTGTGGTGGCCCTTGAGGGGAGTGTGTGCTTGCCTCCTGTCTGGGAAGAGCAAGAGTGGTCATATTTGTGCCACTGTTTATAGTGCTCACCTCAGAATGCCTACAGGAACAGTTCATTTTAGGTGTTAAAATGAGAATGTTTTGAAATGGCTCAATATTCTAAGTGCAGAGAAATACAATAAAACATTTTCTTGTGTGAAGGTTCCTAAGCTCTTATTTATGATCTCCCTATTTATTCCATAATACCATAGTACCAGCCTTCTCAAGTCCAGTTTTTAGCATGTCCTTTTTTTTTTTTTTGACAACAAAATGGTATTTTATTATAGCATATCCTTTTATTTCAATCTCCAAAAAAATTTTTTTTTTTTGGTTGTTTAAAGAGAAATTCCTTAGGGAAATGAAGTGAGATCTTCATATATATTGAAAGTAGATGGCAATAGAGGCGAGAAGGAATTGTAGAATTTTTTTTACGTCTGGCTTTAGCTTAAATCTTTTGTATATCTTTTTACTACTGTATGGGTCTGATTCATGGAAAGT